ATTAATTCCAGAATTATCTTTGAATTTATTCTTCAGTATTTGTTTCTATAATTTATGATGTACAATTGTCTTCCCCTATATATCTGATAATGCAAAGAATTAACAATGTAAAGATTCTGTCTTAAGAAATATTTGTTACTGTAATTTATACTTGTATATTTAATCTTTCTATATAGCAAACCGACTTTTATGGAAGAATAAAGTTTGTTGGTTTGTAATGCTTTATAGTTTGATGTTTTGGTAGAATGTTGGACTCCTGGTGATGTACACGCCATTTTAACCCTGAAGATCCTACTCTTCATAGTCACTACTATGAGAACCCAAAATCCAACGTAGTTTTCTGTTTATTAATCATTAAAATGAACACATTAAAAAGGCAAGAAATAATTTCAGACTATTGTAAGATTAGCATAAAGCCTTTTGAAGATTTAATATGAAATGTTTGAAACAAATTTCGTAAAAGTACGCTGTCTCCATTCCCTATACGTTTTCATGGCGTGGCATTTAATTAATTAAACATAAGATCAACGTTGCGTTTACTTTACCCTACCTTGATAACTTGCAAGGTGTTGTAAAGGCACACTCAGAATGCGATTCTGATTCTCTACCGCTGCGCTAAGCCGCTCTATTATAATTATCTACAGAGAGCTGTCATTACATTCTGGTAATGACAGACCGTCTAGACGGGGCTGTTGCTCAATAGTTAAGCCTATATTGATGAACATATTGTGACATGTGTAACCGTTGCTAGGCAACGGGAGGTGGAACGAGTTTCAGCGAAGACAGACCCTTGATAAACGGTCGGTCTTCGTGGTAACTCGTTCCAGCTCCCGTTGCCCAGCAACGGTTAGACATGTCACACTATGAAATGGCACTGATATCTAGAGGAAACGTTTTAGACAAAAACAGACAGTTCACTATATCCCGGCCAGGATAACATATTTTGTATAGCGACTGGCTACGAGCTGGACGACGTAGGGGTCGGAGTTCGAGTCCCGGTAGGGTCAAGAATCTACTCTTCTCCACGTAGTCCAGACCGGCTCTGGTGCCCACCCAACCTCCTATTCGATATGTACCGGGGATCCTTTCCCCAGGTGTAAAGCGGCAGGGTCGTGAAACTGACCACTCACCTCCAACTAGTGTCGAGGTCAAGAAAATGTGGATCTGTACATCCACTTCCATACTCCTGCATGGCATAGTGCTAAGTAAAGTACAGAGACAACTTTACTTTTAAGAAGAATACAGAAGGAACATAAATTTCCCCTGCAGTTTGAGAATGGATAGTATCTTCTTTTCTTCAGCTGTTTCTTAATTTTAAAAAGGAAATTAGGTGAACAGCATCTCTAACATCCTTCTTATGCGTTGTTCTCTTTCATGCTGTAAGACCATGGTTACTGATGTTTTGATCTGAACTATAATGTTCATAAATCCAGAAATCTCTTTGTTTCTTTTACCTTTAGATAGATCGTATGAGAGATCTTACAGTTACTCAAGAAACATGATGACATTTCGCCTTCTTTAAGTTCAGGAATTTCATCTCCATAAGTTTCATGACTCACAGAGATAGGATGGGATGGTATGGATTGGATAGATCTGGCTCAGGATAGGGGCCAGTGGAGGGCTCTTGTGAACACGGTAATGAACCTTCGGGTTCCATAAAATGCTGGGAAATTCTTGAGTAGCTGCAGAATTGGCGGCTCTTCCAGCAGGGCTCAGCTCCATGAGTAAGTAAGTATGTTTCTTGACATATACTTACTTCGGCCTACTTAGATTCAAGCTATGGCAGGATTTTCATTATGGCTTGCGTCATTGCTAATGCTGATGGTATCTTAGTTTTCCGCCTATCCACGATCTGAGAAATAATTTAGGAATATTTTTATAGCAGGGTTATCCTTTTCTAACTCATCATTTTGCTTCTACCATTTCCGTTGAATGCTTTGGTATTTCCTTCTTATTTTTATATGATCTGAAATTCATTTTTAAGGAATTCAGCGTAGTTGTCACTAATGACTCATGAATGATGATCCCGTAAATATCATAGGGAATTTAAGATTCTTGACCAGAGATGCCTTACAACTTTGCTTTTGAATAAGCTATTTCGAGGGTCCATATAGACCAGGCGGGATTGAAATTGAACGGAACGCATCATTTTCTGTTCTGTGTTTATGCTATAAATATATTTGAAGTTGGAATAAATAAAATAAAGAGTAATACAGATTCTCAAATTTACGTCAGTAATGAGGTTGGTCTAGAAGCAAGGTCATAGAAATTTAAGCATATGCGGTATATTGAATTCTCAACAAGAAGAAATCCTGACATAAAGATAGTTAATATATTCTTCGAACTGTGTAAATTTAAAATATTTTGGAACGAGAGTAATAAATAAAAATAGGTACATGAAGAAATCAGGAACAAATTAAACATAGGTAATGCTTCCTGCCGTTCAATTCAGATTTTTCTTTTTTTCTTCTCGTCTGCTGTCCAAAATTACAAAGATCAAACTGTTGCTTTGCCTGTAGTTTTGTATGGATGTGAAACTTAATTCCTGACATTATGGTAAGAGAGTGTTTGAGAACAGGGTGCTGAGGACACTGTTTGTGTCCAAGAAAATTAAATAATAGACCTGAAAGTAAATGCATACTAGAAGAAGGAAGGAAGGATGGAAGGAAGGAGGGAAGAAGAAACCTCAGTCTGAAGATGACTTGTTGACACACTGGATTTATTACTAGATGAAAATTATTTTAGGAAATAGCCTTAAATACGAATTTAAAACTTTGTTTACAAGAAACGTTTTGAAATTCTGCGTTGTAATTAAAATGCATTAATTAAGAAATAATTTCTAATGTTAAAAAATATCCAGTTTATAAAAATAAACTTTGTTGTGAAATGTTGGACAAAAATGAAGTACGAATATTAGCTTTCCGTTTTATAGTGACATCAACTTCATTTTCAATTGTGTATACGACGAACATTGCGTGCCCTCTGGAGAGATGGATGAGAAACAAACTGTTTGCTTCAGGTTTGTGGAAGATCTCTTAATTCAATGGTCTATGCTCTGAGGATAACAATATATAGGTGGAAACAAAATGGCGGTAGTAGTGTGTGTTGAAATAGCATGTCTGTGTGAAATATTTTAATTATGAATTAATACAGAAGTCAAAATGAGTCAATGGAAGCCAGTAAAAGAAAAAGATCGATATGGAATTGGTATGTCATAATTTAATTTAAGAAATAATGGAAACTTTGATTCAAACTATGTTCGGTACCAGTGGTCCAGCCCACTTTTCGGTAAACATTCCGTCGGTCATTGATTCATATGTATGTGTATTTTACATGAGATGTTATTCGTTGCAATGATATTTATTTCAAGCTTGTAATTTACGGCCGCATAAGCTCCCGATTTCAGTGTTCATTATTGGCTTAGCTCAATTTTGGATAGACTTACTCTGTTATTGTCTCTTCGGTCGGAATGGATGTGGTCCATATACGAGTTTATTGTTCGATAATGAGATTTTCGATTTTTTTTTATTATTCACAAATGTATAGTAGCCGTCGATTTAGTCAATTTTTTCTAACATGTAATATTTATGACAAAAATTGTTACGTTCAAATGACTGCAGATACTCAGTTGCACCTCTGCACCCATAGTTTTGAATCTTGTATTGTTCCAGTAATTCGGTTAATTCAGGGAATATTTTTTTTGTAACATTGTTCACTAGTTCATTCACAATATTTTTACATTTTTATAATTTTCTTAACGACGTGTTTTCCTGTAGACCTGAAATAGCTGTCGTTCATGGACAGTATTATCAACAAATATGCTCTGTCATATGGTCCTCCATACTCAGTATATTACCAAGGCATTTAAGACCAAAAGGCATATAACTCCACGTTAGATCAAAATGAAACTTAGTTGAAATGTTGAAGGAACAGATCTGTACTTATTTAAAGTGTACTTCTGTGATTAATGTAATAAAACTTTTAAGGTAGTCATGCCTGAAATACTCATTTTTGTAGGAAGGAAACATTTTTGATGCATATGATGCATGACTGTTATATTTTGAAAATGTTGTTATTTATGTTACTTCATGTTAAGATAACCACTCAGCAACTGGAGTGACTATGATAAAAAATTGACTCCATATGCTTTATGATCTATCAAAGCATCAAGAGGTTTGTTAACTCTCCAACAGATGGCATTAGAAGACAGGAGGCTATGTAAATGCTTTAAACAATGATGGACAAATTATAAATCACTCCGTCCAATGTGACCTGTAAGTTTTTTACTACATAAAAACTTAACACCCTTACATGTTTCGGTCTCTGTGGACCATCTTCAGAGGGTAAACATCACTACAAATAGGAAACCACTATCACATAATTTGTTTACACGCAAAGTACGTACACTTATATGTTACAGCACACAGTGCACAGAATAGAACATTTCACAAACACAGCACTTTCCTGGGAATGTAAGTTTTAAAAAAATTGTATAAAATTCCTTGATGCTAATTAAAAGTTTTTTAGATTGTCAATAATTAAAATTCATAAACCATGCAGGCTCATGTTCGTTTTTTTAAAACTTACATTCCCAGGAAAGTGCTGTGTTTGTGAAATGTTCTATTCTGTGTACTGTGTGCTGTAACATATAAGTGTACGTACTTTGTGTGTAAACAAATTATGTGATAGTGGTTTCCTATTTGTAGTGATGTTTACCCTCTGAAGATGGTCCACAGAGACCGAAACATGTAAGGGTGTTAAGTTTTTATGTAGTAAAAAACTTACAGGTCACATTGGACGGAGTGATTTATAATTTGTAATTGTTATTGTGATGGACCAGAATGAAACAAATAAAAAATGATGGGACATTTTGTTGAGAACAGCAAAAAAGAATACCCAAAGTCAGTTATAGAGCTCTTAAGGCTAGAAGAAAAAAAGATTTCTGCAAGGCGTCTGTTACTTCATAAACAACATTCCTATATTTATATAAAATAGATATGTAAGAAAAGCAAAAGAAGTAATTATACTGATTATGAACAGTATACTCGCAGATTTAAGTTAAGATCTATATTAAGAATCTTGGGGTTACAGTTATAGAATAAAATGTTTATAAGAATGTGCTATAGAAGGCCGGATGGGCATTGCCTAGGCCTTTTTCGTATATATAGTATTTTTTCTGTATTAAAAAAAATAAATGCTTTCAGCTGCAAAGCCCAGGCACAGCATTTTGGTCAGTAAAAGTGTAACGGTTGTGCATCAGATCGGTAAACGTTACAAACATTTATAATGAATTAGGTATGTACATTTCTGTTTATTTTATAATGAACATTTGAAAAGTTTGAAGGCTTTTAATTTGAGCTTAATCTTGCATGCCTTCTGGCAGGTCCACAAGAATAATATTCTGTTAGATGTGACAACTTGCGAAGCAGTTTCAAAGTATGGGTAAACATAAAGTATGCAATATTATTGAGGCAGTGCATTAAGACACACTTTTTGTACACATTATTGAGCCTGTGTTGAGTCCTAGAATGTTGAAGAGATGTATTAAATATGCATTTTTTTCCCCACATTCCTTATCTTGGGATGTCATCCCACATGAAGAAGTATTCAGGTGTTACAGTTGGCTGTATGACGATATACTGAAGGTCACATTTTTATGGACAATTCTGAGTGAAATTGTTCCATGCCTAAATATAAAGAAATCTGTCAGAAGTTTAGTTGTTAATATCACACCACAGGCAGATGGAAAGACATTATGACCAGAGACAAATCTGTGACCTCCAATATAAGATTTTATTAAAATCAGTCCAGAGTTTTTAATCAGCTTCTTGACAAAATGACAGATGTTGGAGCAGAGAAGATCCTTATGCTGTTCATGAAGTGCCATTGCATGATTTAAAAGTTGGGAGGATAAAAGTTTGGCTCAGGCCTTCACACGAAATAGTAAATGCCAAACATTATGTGAAAATGATTCTCTTGCACATCTTTGACCAGCTGATTGATGAAGAAAAATTGTATGAGCATTTCTATGGATGTGTTAGGTGAAGCCTTCAGCAAATGAGTGATAAGCTGAGGATCATGGCCTCCATGATCACCAAGTTCCAAACCTTGTGATTCTTATTTGTGGTGCATGCTGAAGGTAAAAGTGTATATGAACAATCCACACTCTTTGGGAGAACTTCAAGAAAATGTTAGGCATGAAATTTCCACTGTACCATACATCAGCATCAGTGTGTCTAGAAACACATTTTCACAATGTGAGGCACACTTGGAGACTTCTGTAAACTTACATTAAAGTACAGTAGATAATTGGGCCATGAATTATATCTACTGCTGCAGTTCTATGCGAGAAAAGTGCCATGTCACATGTGGGAAACCGGTCTAATGATGAACTGTACAGCCAGTAGTTTCAGAAACGAAACTCATGACTGAACAGACACTGCTTCCTCCATAAAAAGTAAAAAAAGTAAAGCTATCCCTGTAACAGGCTGTGAAGGCCCATAGGGTTGTGAGACGTTGAGGGTCCCACATTATCTAGACAATTGGCTTGGAGGTGGCGACAATGTTGTCAGCCTTATGCGCCAGCTGCGCTTTACTCCCCAGGAAAATTATTGAATTAATTCCTGGTACTCATTTCTGTTAGAGGCTGAGTCAATCCCAGGGCCATAGTGCGGCTGGAAGGGTTAGGTAAATTGAAGAAAATCCAATGACCTCATCGGGACTTGAACCCATGACCTTCCAGCTTGTAGCATAGTGCCTCAACCAACTACGCTACCGCATGCCCCATGCTTCCTCCATAAGAATTCATTTTCTGTATCGAATGCAAAGAATGCTTAAAAGTGATGGGACTTATGTATTTGCTTTATTATTATGTGATTAGGACAACTTTCAGTCTGTTGGATATGCAGCACATGTTAGTGGTGCAGCTGGATATTCATTCAAAGCTGTTGTCAACATGGAACACTGTTAATAATAATTTACTGTTTTATTAATTTAATTACTGCTCTATTATTCAGTTTCATATTCTTTTTTAAGTAGAGTGTAATCAGTAAAGTATATGAATGTGACAAGAAACCAAAGTCAGGAACAATACACCTTGTATAATTTGAAAGTATTATGGAATCTGTCTGAAGTCAACTAATAGAGGTTCGTGAACTTTGTAGAAGAATGAATTCTGGAAATTCTTATTAGTATTAAGTTTAGAAATTGTCATGCCATTTACATTTAAAACACTAAAGATTTGGATATAATATAACATTTTTGTTGCTTTGTGTGGGTGTGACATGTGGTCTCTTACTAGATGGGAAAAGTATTTGGGTCTTAGCTAGGATGTGAAAAACTAAAAATGTGTACGGAAGATTGATGGGGATACCTCCCCGAAGAATGTGCAGGAGAGGAGAAGAAAACATAGGGATTATAGGGAAGTTGGTTGTAGATGAAGCTGGCCCAGGATCACGTCCAGTGGTTGGCTTTTTAGCGTTGATTATTCCGGTTCTACTGCCAGACACTTTGAGCCTGACAATTTTTTTTTTACTTTATTTCTTTAATGGGTTATTTCATGGTGCTTTGAGTATCAAGACAGCATGTTAGTTGAGACAGTTGAATGATAGGATATTAGATGAATTGGAAATAATTTGGAAAATGGTTGTCTTGGCTTGTTAGAGATGCTATCCTGGCATTTTCTTCCAGAGACAGGAAAACTATGAAAAACGTCAGTTAGTATAAAGCAGTGACTCAGCTGAAATTTAAAGTAAGTGCTTGCTGAATACTAGTCTAGAGCACTGTCTCCAGACCATCCTGTTTGGTTTCAGTAATTTCATGTGAAAGTAATTGATTGGCTGACAGTATTAGTAGGCAACCTGCTCATTTATATGTTGTTCCTAGAAACCAGGTAAAATCTATGTGACTTGGAGGTCTCGTTTTTTATCACAAAAAATTTTGGGGAGATTTGTAAAAGGCACTTCATGATACAGTAAAGTTTTATATTTTGTTATTTCACTGTGCTCTTCTGTCACATGAAGATTTATATTTCCTTATAAAATGTAACTTATAAGGTTCATCGCATTGTAACAAATATGTACTGTTGATGTAAACCAGTGTATGTAAATTATCGTGATTGCATATAGTACAAATTACAAAATTGATAGATGTATTGGTGTCTTTAGCTGCATTGAATTGTACTCTAAATGCATAATGTAATATATATGCCCATCCCAGTATGACAGGAGTGGCTGTAAGCAGTCTCTTCAGTGGGCACATTTCTGGACCAGTGCAACTCATCCTGTGAATGGGTTGTCTCTAATGAGGATATCCTGATATAAACATCATAATGTGTAATGGGGGGGGGGTCTCTACAGAACTGGTCTAGTAAAAGAAATTCAGATTACTATGAATGTTGATCAAGAAATGGAAACTGAAGTATGGCAATATTTGCATTTTGCATTTAATGCATATTTTAAGAACATTCTGTTGAAGTAGTTAATAAAGTAAGTTAGAATGTCTCTCAAGACACGCCGCCTCTTATTTAGGAAATTGTGTCAGAAAATATTTTTGTTGACATTGTTTAAGTCAAATAACACCCTTTACCCTTTAGTTTACCCTTAAGGTTTATAATTCACTGTGTTCCCCATTCTTTTTACAAGTTTTTCAATGTCTTTTTGTCTTTGGTTATCTCTGCAGTTGTATTAACAGCCATGAGACATTGTGAATGTTAAAATCTGCCAGGCTCAAATGTTGGAAATATTTCCATCTAAAATTGGAACACAATATGGCACACTTTGTACTACATTTATTCTTTCTTCTTTTCTGCTGGATATCTGACTGTATTGGGTACTGATTCATTGTAGACATACATCATTATCAAAATTCAGGTCAAGTTAGTTGAGATCTTAAGTGTTCGTTTAATTTGTTTTGAGTCTCATGCAACGTAAGCCCAGGAGTGTTAGGTAACAAATGAATTAAGTCATGCAGTAAGTTTGTACCTTTACCTGTAGTAAGTTCAATACATTGGAAACTTGGAACTTTATTACACTTTAGTTAAAGCTGTATGATGAATGATTAATAGGATTATTTGTGTAATAAATTAATTATAACATTTTTTTAACAGCAATCCACAATTTTCATCAGGATGCAGCATACAGGATAAAGTTGATGGTTGGAGAAGCTGTTCACATTCTGGAAGAAAATGGAGGCTGGTTCTTTGGGTATTCAACGAAGAACCGAGCAGTGCGTGGAATCTTTCCAAAATCTTACATCCATATCAAAGAATGCATTGTTGACAGAACTGGGTAATTATGTAGAGATTACAATGGACACATGTCAGAGACTGAGTTGACTTTTGAGAGTTATGATATTTGTGACGGGTTTTAAGAATGGCAATGTTCTGTGGTTACAGACCAGTTGAAGTGGTAACATTAAAACAACCTCATGTCGTGCAGGAACTAACATCAGTTCTGAGAGAATGGGGTCATATATGGAAACATTTGTACATAGTAAGTATGACAAAATTAATACATTTGTGTATATTGTAATCTTGGTTAATCAGTCAAGTGAAGTTTTCAGTAGCTGAAGTGGATAACTAGCTGACTAGCAAACCACCCAACTGACCAGTTGACCAACCAGTTAAGATACAGATCGGGTAACTGACCAACAAAGTAACTAACCATATTAACTAAGCAATTGACCAATTTATTGACAAAGAAATTCTTAAGTAAGAAATTAATTAACCAACAACCATGCTGTACGTCTATGTAACCTGTAAAATAATTAATAAAGAAAGTAATTATTAAGTAACTAATGAATAAACACTGAGTGCTCGAGGACTGCATGGCACAGTGTTCTCCCTCTTTAATTATAGAGTTTAGCTCATATGGAACTTAAGATTCATCAACATTGTTACAAAATCCTGCTCTCAGATCCAGTCCAGTACTCTGAAAGTAAGACTTAAAGAACATGGCAACAGTATCAGACAGGGAATTGTAGAGTGGCCTAAGTATGCGTGGTATATATTTGAATAAGCACTCGAGATGGATTAGTCTGATTGCACTGTCATATGGATAGATCTTAGTATTAGACTCAGAAAACACTAAGAATGGGCCCACACAGTGTGCTCAGAACGTGGATACGAAATTTTGCCAAAGACAGTCTTCTGTAGATTCGGCCAACAGGAATGCGTGCGTAGTATGAAGTTAGTCCATGGTTAGTTTTTGTCAATTTGTTACTAGAATATGGTTTCTTGTTGTCATAATATCTTTGCTTGATCTAGTCTCCTGGCATTCATTTATTTCTGCTTGTTCTGACATAACTTTATGCCAATTTGTGACATGCCACATCTTGTACTCAATTTCTTTCTTCTATCCTTCTACATGGTGCCTGCATCTGATTTGCTTTGGAGCATAGTGGTAAACAGTCACAGATAGTCATCACAGACTAGGTACATGAAGATGGGCACAAGGCCTTCCTCAGAAGTGTCATATGTTTTGTTTCCAGAGAGTGAAAAATACCAAAGAAATTTCTCATATGACTACTAAGTGTTCCAAAAATATTTTACAGCTTTTGCTGTGAGAATTTATGGAACTTGTACTTGTTTTCTGTTCTGTTTTTTAGATCCATAGTGAACATTTTGAGACCATAGAGCATCGGATTTATGAATTGATTCGATACCGAAGTAAAATCCTCTCTGGCACATTGCCTGTCGATGAACTCAAAGAAATCAAACAGCTAGTCACGTCAAAAATAGATATGGGTAACAAGTAAGTCATGTGTGTATTTGTTAGAAATAAGCAGCTGTATATGTTTACTTCAGAGCCAATTGAAGTGTTGTCTGTTTTAGTAGCTCTGTCTATCATGTCTGTTTCATGAGGCACCATGAATATACTTGATGTTTATTTACAGATTGTTAGACCTTGATATGGTAGTTAGAGACGACCAGGGAAATATTTTAAATCCAGATATTACTTCCACCATTCAGCTGTATTGGCAACATGAACTAGCCACTGAAAGGATAAAAAAAGCCACAGTAAGTTTTAAAGTATGTAATGAAAAATTTTGAAACTGGCAGTAGAACCCAAAGGTTTGACACTGCTAATACCAAAGCCTGCAATGGGACAAGATCCTGAACTAGTTCTGTCTTCCTCCTACTGTTAATATCTGTTCACATGGGGTCCGTTGTAATTGGCTCCATCTCCCCCTCAGTTTTATAGTCTCTTTCACAGTGATTTCCCAATATTCCATAATAAAATGCAAATAGGGATTATATTCAACTGAAACATAAGTCTGTGAGGAAGATTTATGAAGAGATAGTCAAACAAGATTTAGGAGTCATTGAACCAGTAGAATCCACACCCTTAAATGGATGATGATGATGATGACAGTGACGACAATGATAGGTACTTTATCCACTGTGATGTAAAAAAATGAAATGGAAGCTGAAACATAATTGCAAAGTGTCAGAGGGTATACTTGCATGTCCCTGCAAAGTTGAGATTTGCTGTCCATTGTGGTGTGACTCTCTTCTTTTACAAAAATTTGTTTTAATGTATTCAGTGTTCTTTGCAAAATGTGAATGACATGAACATATATGAAGGAGATCATGTTCATTTACAAGTATGTTCAAATTTTGTGACTTACAAAACCCACTAAATAAATTTGTATAAAAGTTAATGAGTTATTGCAAGTCTGGCGGCCTCCGTAGTGTAGGGGTAACATTCCCACCTCATGACTCAAGGTACGCGGGTTCAAACCCGGCGGAGGTCGTGGAATTTTTAAGGGCGGAAAAATTCAGGGAACAAGTCCTCCGGGAGGGACTTTAAGCCGTGGGTCCCGTGTCGTAGATTTACGGCATGTAAAAGTACCTCATGTCTCTAGGATGCCTCTGAGCTAAATTAGGCCAAAAAAAGTTTCCCGCCCAAATAGTTTCCAATGCCTCCGATAGATGGGGAAGTATTAGGTACCACTTCCAGAGGAGGGACGACCTCGCTGATAGAAAGGGACTAATTATTAGATACCACTGCCAAGTAGAGGGTAGAAACCTTGCTGGCAGAAAGGGGCTAAAGTATTAGGTATTACTGCCAGAGGAGGGACTACCTCGCTGACAGAAAGGGACTAACTATTAGATACCACTGCCAAGTAGAGGGTAGAAACCTCGCTGGCAGAAAGGGGCTGATAGTGAGCACCAGTATCAGTAGGGGATGGAGACAGTAGAAATTAAAAGGGGGATGTACAATAGACTATCAGTCGTGGTGCATGGGGAAACCCACCCCCTCAATACTGAATCACTGAATTGCAAGTCTATACCAAAAGGTGGGCATAAATGTAGTTTTGGTTCATATCTGTCCCATATAACACATGTAACTTGACAAATTTTCTCATAAATGGTTCAGTGTATGAAAAAAAATGTCAGACTATAGAGTTTATTAAGATGTATAACTTCCATTTGAAATATTTTTTGATATGGTAAGGGAAAATAGTCTCTGATAATTCAGCATGAAGTTTGTAGTATGATCACCAATGTTTTCTTATGCACCAACTGAACATCAAGGGCAGTGAGGTATACAAAATCACAAATAATGCATTTGAATGAAAAAATATGTATGCATATTTGCCAATGCACTTGCACACACAGGACACTGAAGCAGATCTTTCCTCTTAATTTTTCTCTTATGGTTTTGTTTCCTGTTTTTGTAAGAGTTAAATTTGTCATGTTTGCAGTCTGTCCCCATGGAGAAAGCGCAGAAGACATTGACACAGTACTCGCATATATTTTTTGTGTCTGTACGTAACTTTGTATGCAAGATGAGTGAGGATGCTGAGCTTCTCATGACATTATATGATGCCAAAGAAGGCCGAGCTATCACAGAAAATTATGTAGTGAGATGGAGTAAGGAGGGCTTGGCACGAGATATTGACCAGCTGCACAATCTCAGAGTGTTATTCACTGTAAGTTAAAACTGAAATCACAGTCTTCATTTAAATAATGATATGGTAGAAAGTTGCAGCAGTGTAAGATGATGTACTGTCTAACATTATAAACCATCATTAATACATATTGCTGAAATGGGTATAATGGGCAAAAGGAACAAGTGAGAGAGTTTGGAGCAGAATGAGTTGGCCATGTTTTCTTCCTGTCTCAGTAAACTCTATCGATTGAATCTAATGAATGCAGTTTATTATATGATCTTCCCATTCTGTCTGGTTCATAGAACAGCAGAACCATTTTATAGAAAGGACGCAGTGATTGGTGACACGTGTTAACTGGACAGCAGTCACAGAATGTGGGTGGGAAGAAGTAGTGGTCATACTTCACAGCTCTGCAAGTTGTCAGAGGTTTTTTGAACTTCTGAGAGCTAAATATAAAATCATACTGAAGTGAGCATATGAAAATGAAACTTATTTGTAAAGGAGTATGAACTAAGTGAATGTATTTAAAAACTTCAGGTATTGCTGAGTTGATTAATTGTAAGCAGTTCAGTTCTTATTTGGAGCTTACAGCTTTAAAAATGCAATACATAGCAATTTACTTTCTGAAATACTGCATTTCAGACATTTAATTGCATTTAAAAAGCAAGGCCATCAGCTAGAGTGCTGGGGGCTTAAATGTCATTCCTTAAAGGTCCGTGATTAGTATCATGTTAAAATGTAAGTACACTCAACTCTCGATTATCTAGGGGCGGATAAACTGGTTTGCGGCTTAACTGGGGCTTTTTTTTGAGGCTTATATGTTGTTTAATATTCATTCACTTTTGTTTCACATGGTGAGTTGTAATACTATTTTTAGCAATAGTGTGAACTGAGCTCTGCATTTTTTGGTCCCGTTATGCTAACACAATGTTCTAGGGTAGGAGTGGAAGAATGAAAGGATTTGTGGAAAGTTTCAAGGACAGATACACTGCTCCAGTTAGTCTCTTTGTATCGATCTTCAAGTGCATTAGCAAAATGTCGGGGTGTAGAAGGAAGCATGTTGTGTTAAGTATTCAACAGAAAAAGGAAAATGCCACGAATAAACAAACAACAATATTAAATTTTTTTAAGGGTTAAGTGTGAATATTCGTAAAAAGAGTTGGATGTTGTTGAACACTGTTATTGAAATAACTAATTCATGCTTCAGTGTAATGTAAAAAAAGTATTAAATAGGCCATGAGATGACATAAAAATGAGGTTGAATAAATTTAAATACAGGTAGGCCTATAGTATAATGAAGGTACAGTATTACAGTACCTCTTTTAACCAAATTTGTGTTAACCGGGTTTTCAATTAATCATGATTTTCATCCCCACCATTATCCCGGATAATCGATTGTTGAGTGTAATTAGAAAAATATGTCTCGAACAATGAAAAGCTTTGCTTTTACATGGTGGTGCCATGTTTCCTGATGAAATGACTGTTATGATGCAGAAGTTAAAAGCTTGAGAATCATTGATCTAAAACACTTTCCTCCTGGTTTCTGATTGAAATTTCTACTCCTAGCCCTAGTCACTTCTGCCTGGAAGATGACAGTAATTTTCTTTGAAAATATCAGTTGCCTAATCCAGTACCATCTGTTGTTGCAATCCAGAGGATTTTACTTTTAAGATTGTCTGAGTACTGTAAATTTTTTCCTCTGCAAATGCATTTTGATATAGATTTAATGTTATGATTAATAAAACATAAAGGTTTCTCTGTAACAGGCCATGGAGGCCCATAGGGCTATGAGGCGTTGAGGCTTGCATATTTCCTAGACAGTTGACTCAGATGGCAATGAGGTTGTCAGCTTTATGCACTAGCTGATCTTAACCCCCAGGAAGATTCCAGGTACTCATTTCTGTTAGAGGTTGAGTCAGTCCCAAGACCATAGTGTGGCTGGAAGGATTAGGTCACTTGAAGAATCCAGTGACCTCATCCAAATTGAACCTGCCACCTCTCAGCTTTTAGCATAGTACCTGAACCAACTATGATTAATAATATATATTTTTTTTTTTGCCAGGATTTGGGCAGCCGGGATTTAAGTCGTGAGAAGGTGTATCTGGTTTGCTATGTAGTGAGAGTAGGTGCCATGGAGGTTCGAGATCCTGACCATCGACGGAGTTCACACGTTCCAAAGAAGGTGCATGCTGAGGGCATGAGGCGTCCTTTTGGTGTTGCAGCAATGGATGTAACTTTATATATCACTGGCAAGATAGAAGGGAATGAAGAGGAGCATCATTTTATTCCTTTCTTGCAGTAATATATCCTTCAGTATTAAATTTGTTGTAAATGTCTTCACCTAGAATGGAGTGATGTTGTATTAAGCAGCTGTTTGGTCTTTTCACATAGATGCAAACAGTAAATTTTGAACAGAACATACAATCCTTACCTTCCTCTAGATGCTTTAGGTTATAGGATGAGGCTAGAAAGAGCTATGTGTTAGTAGCTATGCACTTTAGTGATTCACTTCTAAACATAAAGAGCTATCCCTGTAACAGGGCCATGAAGGCCCATGGGGTTGTGAGATGTCGAGACTCCCACACTTTGTCTAGACAGTCGGCTCACAGATAATGGTAAGGATGTCAGCCTTATATGCCAGCTGCCCTTTACACCCCAGGAAGATTCCCAGTACTGATTTCTGTCATGTTAGCNCCCCCCCCCAAGTTTCTTTTATCTTAGCAAAGGCATTGGGCTTTCCCAAAGCTCTGTGCTTTATACCTTTCTTATGAAGTGTAAACACCATGAGAAGCTACCTTTTTGAATGTTGCTTTGACTCAAGAAGATCTGCATGCAGTGGTAAGTGTTTATAATATGTATCATATGCATTTCAGATGTTGTGAGAGAGATAATCTGGATGGTACATTAAGGAGGATACTCACCTTGAAGGAGCTACCTCAGAAAGAGCACAAAGGGCAGGGACTGTGGACGAGCCTGAAACTGCTGCATGGTGACCTGAAGCAGGTTTGTTTTATTCAGATGTTGGGTAAGATCATGCTGAATCAGTAATACAGTTACAGTATGGTGAAGCTTATTATTTGGAGCAGTTATTATCTCATCAGTGTTGTAACCACTTCTGATCTTGATGTCTTCTTGCCTTGAGCAACCCTTTGATATGGTGCAAGTCTTTCCAAGCCCATCACCATCATCATTGCTGTGGGATACTGCTGGATCATGTAGACTACATCCAGGTTCATCTCTTCAGGATGGCTGCAGTGTATGTAACTTTCCTCTGGTCTCTGTTGGGTTGGACAGCTTTATTTGTTTTCCTTCCTGGAATCTACAGATTCGGCTAGGCACTGGTTTTTGGGCTGCCATCATGTCACTGGAGATGGTGATCTTCTTGAACAGTGCCCTGCCATTATTCTGGGGCCTAGGGATGCCACACACTTGTCACATTGGCACCTGCTCTCACCCCTGTTGCGTACCCAGTAGTACCACTGTCTAACCTTGTTCAGACTTTTGTTGACACCTTGAAGTCCTCCCGGAGATCATCCATGGGACTTTCTTGCTACTTCCTTCACCTTGCTCAGGGGAAGTACTGTTTTGGCAGTCTTGGACCTGTCCATCTGCTGACCCCCTGTGGTGCTCTAGCATGCCATGTCTCATTGTCAGGGAATTCCATTGAGCTTAGTAACTTTTGTGTCTGGGACTGTGGTCAATGATGCTCTTCTACTGGGGATGCTGTCTGGCCTGAATTTCCTGTAGAACTGGACTTTTGTTATTGTCATCCAGCTGCTACATCCTCAGTGTGGCACAGGTCCAACATCGTATGACAGCAGCAATGCTAACTTGTGCCTTCAGGCTGACTGTCATTCAATTGCTGACAGTGAGTTTATGCCTCAGGATGGGGTCATCTAGAAAATTCAGTGCCATTGTTGTGCTTCTGCCCCTGGTGATGTTCAGCTGTTCTGACAGGTACCTCTCTTGGAACTTGAACCAATGTCCTTGCCCTGCACTCACCTTATAGATGTGTAGCCTTTGAACTTGGTCCCATTAGGCTGTTTCCTGCCTCTAGGGGGCCCACCAGCCATGCAGTGATGACTGTCCCAAACCCAGCCAATACTATGTCATTGCTGGCTATCATATAGAAAAATGATCGTGTTAGTGTCCAGGGACCCATAATGACACTTATATACCCAATCACATCACACACACTGCTTCAGATTCAGCATCAGGTTGTAAGTTGGCAGGAGATCCAGCTAACCTCAGGATGAATTTTCCTGTGACCTTTGCAATCGAGAACTGAATCATAGCACATTTTGCTGCAGAGTCTGCTGTACCAGCACATCCTTCAAGATAAGAAGGTCCCCCCATGATGCTGTCTGAAATATCTGCAGCTGACTTAGCTTTCTCTTGGGCAGTCCTGCACTGATTTCAGGTCTGGTGATGGTCATGGATGGTTTGATGTCAGTGGTCATGAGACATGGTTTGTCCCCAGTGAAGCCCTTGGCGTTTAGGTTGTTGTTGCTCCTCTTGACCAACACATTGAGTGTGGAATGAGGGTAATGATTCCAGCACCTTGTTCTTGTCAGCATTTACTCATACTCATGAGTCCTTGTTGGCCCCCTTAGGCAGTCCTAGTCATGTTTCTGTTGACACTCTCCTCAGAGAGGGCTGCATATGGGTTGTTCAGTCTTGTGGCATTGGTTCTTGGGAACTGTGTTCCCACTGGTGTCCAGCCCTTACATTCTTCAGGTCTACTGATACTCCAGCTGGCTGTCTTTGCTGCATCTAGCTTCAGGACCTGTTTTTGTGCAGTGATTATATAATGACCAAATTGACAAGCGAGTGAGTTGACACTCGGTCTGAGGTTGAAGTCAGTGGTTAGGAGTCTTGAGTTGCATTGTTAGCAGCAGTTACCTAGCAGCGACTAATGAACTAACAGCAGACTGTGTGTGCACTTTAATTGTGATTTAGAGTGTGTACATTAGTGGAACTATTATGGATATTTGTAGTCATGAGTTAACAAGCATCCAATAAATCCAATTATCAATCCAAACCCCTTGTCCAGTTACTAACATGTGACAGCTGGTGTCAGAAGTGGGATAGAATTGTATTGTGCAGCATTGGATTGGAACCCATGTGATGGATAATCATGGCAGACTTGGAACATCTCTTAGCCATTAACCATTAGCTGGAAGCCAAGACAGAGACCAGCCAAGAAAGAATGAAAGCCAATGAAGAAAAGATGAAAATCAAGATAGATAGAGGGCATTCAAGAATATATGGGGGCCATTTCGCAAAGTGTGGAGGCCAAAATGGACACCACCGTGAACATCATCAAAGAAGCAATGAGGGCCTATCAAGAAAGGATGGAGGCGCATCAAGAAGGGATATGAACCAAAATTGAGGCCAGTCAAGAAGAAATTAAAGCCCCAGTAAGGACAAGCCAGGAAAAGATGGAGACTGCAATAAGCTCCATTTTATCCAAATTGGAGGAAACTATCAAAAGTCAGGTGGAATCTTTCAACCAGTGCACCTAGAATCTCTGCAAGGAACTGAGCTTAGAGATTGGAAAAAATGCAGGTGGAGTTAATGGACGTTCCTTGATAAGTGGACCTGATGCCTCCATGGTGAGTGCAGACACAAAGGAGGACTTCCATGAAGAGTTCTACTTCAAGATAGAAGCCACACAACATGAGTTCAAAATGCAGCTAGCAGAAGTCAAAACCAACGCTGAGTGCGGATCTTGTGGGAGAGCAGGAAATGGTGTAGGCATGGCACAGCCACCTAAGTTTGATGGATTGATACCATGGGCCATGTTCTGACAGCAGTTCGAGACCATGGTGGAGCACAGCCACTGGATGACCAGCAAGAAAGCTACGTACCTGATTGCCATCTTGAATGAGCTGGCATCCCTGTGGGAGCAATGTATGAAGAGTTTACTGAGGCACTTGAGAACTGCTTTGCTGACTGCCACCTCGAAGCAGCTTTCCACTTGCAGGTGAAAAGAGGGACCCAGCCCATCAAGGAATCCCTGCAGGAATTAGCTACTGCCATTGTCCACTCTGTGTTTGATTCTTTTACGAGTATTTGTTAGTTTTATATAATTTTCACATTTTCTCCTATGTGGGTGCATGCAAACTGCTTTGAGAGAATTACATAATGTTCTTAAGCTAAAAAGCATGCTAAATCTTTCAAAATTATTTTCTTTGCTTAACTACATTGAAACTTAAAGTATAACAAAACCATTTGAGGAAGAAGGATGACATGTGATTTAACCCCAAAACCATTCACTCTAAATATGTTAACTGTGTGATGACTTAATTACATTAATTAATTTTTTACAGGTTCGAGAAGAAAACCCACATTTAGTACTGGGCAATGTGACAATAGCACGAAAGATGGGTTTTCCAGAAGTGATACTGCCAGGAGATGTGCGCAATGATCTGTACCTTACTCTCGTGAGTGGCGAGTTCTCTAAAGGAAGCAAATCAACTGACAGAAATGTTGAAGTTACTGTCAGAGTTTGTAATGAAAAGGGGCAAAGCATTCCGGTAAGCATGACTGTCACCTGTGTGTTAGTTATTGTCATCATTTACAGTAATAAAGTAACAAGTAAATTCATTTAATTATTTAGGGTAGCAGGTATGTTTAAAGTACAAGAACAGGGTTATGCAATAAAATGACACAATAAAAGAATCTTAAAAAAGAAAACTGTGGAGGGTATTTGAATAAAACTGTAAGGCTTGTGCTTTCATATAACTTTTAACTTTGGACAAGTTGCTGAAGTTTTCTGAGATTAGTAACAGATTTTATATTTTAAGATCAGAAGAGAAGTGAATGTATTAGAGAGGAATTACAGATTATTAAATTTACAGACAGAATTTCAGATTATAGAAATTAACTGTGGAGATGTGTTGAAAGGAGGGAAGAAAATTATATTCTAAAGAACGATTCACAAGGAATAAATAATGTGTGAAGACCTGTGGCAAGATGGATTGAAGATTTTAATGGAGATGTAACATGTTATTAATCCTCATCCTTGTGAAGTTCATCTTGATGATGATGGCGAATAATTACCATGTGTAGATTACTGATCATGTATTGCTTGATGATTGAGTATTAGTTATTTTCCTGTCATACCTTATTATTTAGAGATGTTGGGTTTTCGGACTTATCCATCGTCCTGGTTTTAAGATAACTAAGAAAAAAAAACATGACGTTTCGGAAACTGGATCTGTTTCCGTCCTCAGGTGAAGGAAAAACACCTATTCTGTTGGGTCCCTTAGAAAGAGTAGCCTCAATCACTGGACACAACAGAATAGGTGTTTTCCCTCACCTGAAGACGGAAACAGATCCAGTTTCCGAAAGGTCGTGTTTTTTTTCTTAGTTATCTTAAAACCAGGATGATGGATAAAGTCTGAAAACCCAATATCCCTAAGTGTTATACACCATCGTCAGAATCCTGTAGTAAATACCTTATTATTTATTCTGACTTGGTGTTTTCATGTTATCCCTGAGTCTGTCAAGGCTGAAAAGCACTGTGACTTCCTTTCTATATCAGTACATGTTTTTATCATTCCAGGCAAGACATTTAGTTCCATCTTTAACATATCTGATCTTAGTTTATGATTGTGGGGAAAGTAAAGGAGGCTTGAGGAAATTGCATAATGAGAGAATCCATAATTTGTATGTAAAAATTATTCAGATACTATTACGATAATCAAATCAGGGAAGATTAGATGGGCATGACATGTAGGATGCAATGAAGAGATAGAAAATGCATACAGCATTTTAATTTGAACATATGAAAGGTAGAGATCACATGGGAGAGAGGTAGGAGGATAATATTAAAATGGAATTAAAAAAAAAAACATGGTTTGATGATGTTGACTTCATCTGGCTGAGGAGAGGATCCAGTGATGGTCTCTTGTGAACGTGGTAAGGAACTTTGGGTCCCATGATAAGTGGGGAATTTCTTTAGTATCTTAGCAACTATTTGTTTCTCAAAAAGGCTTATGCATCATCATGATACTTTGTGACCAATAGGAAAGCAGTGCAGTGAAACTTTGATGAATCCATGGATTTTTTTAATGTTTCATTGCCATATATTTGGAGTGAAAGCCTTCAGTAGCTGATATCTCAAAGTGTCAGTTTTCATTTGAATTTTATTAAAGAACTTAAGTGCTCTTAAATGCAATAAAAATGTGTAATTAGAATATTCAGCTTTTTTTGAGCTCAAATTTCAGGTTTCATGTAAATTCCAACTTGTCCAGTATGGACTGAAATTTTAAATATTTGCATCTCTCTCTTTGTTGCTGTATGTCACCTTGGATTCAGAATGTACATATATCTTTATCCCCAGAAGTTTACTCTTTGTTACAGGGCTGTATTTAAACAGGTATTTCATTTAGTGGTTCAGATGCCTTCCTCTACTGGAAATAATGTAGAATAACATAAAATGAGTCTTTTTTCAGACACAGTGTTGTTAGGAAGAAAGATTTGGCAATGGAATAATCAAGATTTATATAAGTTTAAATTTAATAGTTCTGCTATTTTTCTTCTCCAGAAAGAAAGGATATCAGAGCGATGTTGGGATATGGCAATAGAGTTTTGTGTAGAAACATATTTAAAGAGTAAAATGTTTTATCATTTGCATTACAATATATATTTTTGGTGTTAATATTTGTATTGCAAAATAAAGTTCTTTTTCCATCAAACATTGATTCTCATACTATTGATACTAGACAAAGACAAGATTTGTATCTACCTCAAGCTAATTTAACTGTTTATCGAAAAGGAGTTTATTATGCGGTTATAAAAATATTTAATAAATTGCCCATAGAGATCAAGAACACATATAATAATTTTTAAAAAGTTTAAGGTTGTATTAAGGCATTTCTTGAACACTCATACGTTTTATACTGTGAATGAATATCTCAATAGATAACTTTTATTATTGTTATATTCACTGTACTGTCTAGTTGTGTAATAACTATGTATGTATTCTATGCTTTGTATTTTTTATGACATGTTGTATATCCATCTTTGGATCTCTTTAACTTACAATACACATTTGTAATGAAAGAGTTTTATTGTTGATATTTTTTCAAAAGAACTCCCTAAATGAAATTCAGGATTCCCTGTTGCTTTGCTATAATTCTCTTTTCAGCTGGGACAGTGTACTTATGTTACAGGGTGTGATTACATTGGGTGGTGGAGTTGAAATGATAAATGAGTACAGGTCTGTCATTTATTATCATGAGGACAAACCTCGCTGGTTTGAGATATTCAAGGTTGCTGTGCCCATTGAGGAGTTTAAAGGAAGCCATTTAAAATTTATGTTTAAACACAGATCTTCAAATGAAACCAAAGACAAGACTGAAAAACCATTTGCTATGTCATATGTAAAACTGATGCAGGAAAATGGGACCACACTACCAGACAAAGAGCATGAACTTCTAGTGTATAAGGTATGTGGAACTTCATACAGATGCTCGTTTACATTCTCACAGTTTAGTGTCTAGACGTGGGGTTTGAATTGTTTGATTTATTGAACACCTATTACGATGGGAAGTCAAAATGTCTTAATTATCACCATGAGAAAATCATAATTCAAAAATATCGTTCTATATAGGAGATAGCCTGTTTCCTGAGCTTGCCAAACAATAAAATTTCCCGTGCCAAGTGGAAAGAGGGAGCCACCAGAAGGGGCAGGAGCAAAATGGCAACATCAGTTGAGAAAGTGGAGGCTTGAACTGTGATACGGTTCCTGCATTTGCAAGGGAAGTCTGCCAAGGAGATCCACGACCAGATGACTGCTGTGTTTCAGGAAGGTGTACCTTCATATGAGACGGTGGTCAGGTGGAAGAGGCGCTTTCATTGTGGACAGACAAACCTCAAAGTTGAACCCCGAAGTGGACGACCGTCTTTCACTGAGGAACCGGGAATTGTGGCACAGGTGGAAGCTTTGATCCTATCCAGTAGGTGAATAACTATTGAAGCTATTGTTCATGAGGTCCAAATTAGCCATGGGTCAGTTTTCAACATCATCCATGACAAGTTACACATGAGAAAGGTCACTGCATGTTGGGTGCCACGATTGTTGACACCAGTTCAAAACAGCAACGGATGGATTTGGCAAAGAAACTTTTGCAGTTTTGTCAAGACGAAAAGGTGGAATTTTTCAACTACCTGATCATGATTGATGATGTTGGGTCTATCATTATGACCCTGAAACAAAGGAAATGAGCAGGCAGTGGAAACATGCAGACTTGCTGCCACCAAAGAAGGCCAAATCCCAGCCGTCATCAGGAAAGGTGATGTTGAGTGTGTTCTGGGATTGGCAGGGTGTCATGACCAACTACGCACAAAAGGACTTCACCACCACTGGCAAGTACTACTGGAACCTTCTGAGAAAATTATGGGAGGAAATCCAGAAAAAGCAACACAGAATGCTGAGAAAAGGTGTGCTACTTCTTCATGACAGTGCACCAGTTCATGCTACGACACTTGCTGCCAGTTTGGGATATGAAATTCTCCCCCATCCACCATATTCGCCAGACCTGGCACCAAGCGACCTCTTTCCACGACTAAAGAAGCCACTTTGTGATAAGTGATAAGCAATTCGAAGATGACGATGATGTCCTTTCTGCTGTGGAGGACTTCCTAAACAGTCAAAATGAGACATACTATGATCAAGGTATCCAGCAGCTAATGCATGGTTGGGGAAAATGTGTGGCCTTGCAGTTGACATATGTAGAGAAGAACTAACTCACATACAATTTCTTGCACCTTTATCTCTGTTTCTTCTGGGTGATAATTAAAATTTTATGGCTTCACCATGTATATGTGGCACACTAGTCTTCTCAGTTTGTTATAGTCTTCACTAGTCATTGCTTGGTTACGGCTTCTATGGTGGTGCTGACATCCTTGCCAGCTGGCATCTTTCAGCTGCAGCTCCCGTGCTAGGCTGATCAGGTTGTCCAAGTCACATTGCAACTGATGGTCCATCAGTCTGTCTGTCTTTGTGTTGAGCCCTGGCTGGGGCTCATGACAAGATTTTTTTTTCTTATATGAAAGTTATTGTCCTGTTCATTTGGGGCTCCCTCTCTTCATTAATTTTAATATTCCAGTGTTCACACCAGGTCTCCATTAAGCTGAGACCACGCTGGAGTTTTCTAACAATAAAACCCTGCTTGTGATCTGTCACATAAGACAGGTGTCGTCCACAAAGAGGGCCATGTGAACACCATGTGTTTGGGGGGTACAAATTGAAAAGGGTAGGGGAAAGGACTGAACCTTGTGGCACCCCTGCTTGCATTTCCCTTGGGGTTGACATTTCGTCTTCAACCGAAACCCTGAATTTACGTGGAGAAAGAAAGGACCCAATAAGTTTCGTCAAACTGTTTGAGAATTTCAATTTTGGTAACTTACACAGCAAGCCTGAGTGCCACGTGGTATCAAAGGCTTTTTCGATGTCCAAGAACACCGCGGCCGTAGACATTTTGTTGTTGAAATTAAGGGTCACATGGTCTGCCAGCCTCATACATAGCAGTGTCATGCTGTGACATGCACAAAAACCAAACTGGTTTGCGTTGAGCAGGCCTCTTTCTTCAATATGTTTTTGTAGTAATTTCAAAATTACTTTTTTTAATAGTTTTCCTGTTGTGGACAGAAGGCTGATCAGACATAAATTTTGCAAGAATTTTGGGTCTTTACCAGGTTTAGGTAAAGTTATTACTTTTGCTTCTTTCCAAGTATTTGGAAAATGAGAGAGCCGAAAACAATGATTAAATAAATGAGTTAGGTAAACCAATGGTCTGTATTTGTTGTGCTGACAATGACATAATTCTTATATATATATATATATAGATTATGACTGTTCATCTGTGAGGTACAGATTTGAAACTGGTGTGACTTGTGCTACGTGATCAGAGTGTACTCAACCAGCCCTTATGGATAAAAATAAAGTTTTAAATACTGTAAAAATTTAAAACTGTACCAGTGTCAAAATTTAGTTGGAAGGTGTCTTATTGCTAGTTTCGAATTCACTGGCTTAATTATATAGGCGCTGTATCTCCATTTACATTTACAAGTGAAATATTGTTTCAGATTGATCACAAGAAGTTTGAAGACAATGATTTGGGTTATCTGAGCCTTCCTTCAATGCGACAAGAATTGACTGAGGGGCAGAAACCCCAGCTTGGGGGAATAAGTCTGAGTAGCAAAGACAGCTTTACTATTCATACCAATGTGTGTTCAACTAAGCTGACACAAGATGGTAACATTATTTTATTTTGAGTGCTATGTAAACTTTGTTATTACTTAAAGGATTACTGTCTTCCGGGATGTGATACAGTGTAATCTGGTAGAAAGTTACCAGTGTTTCAGAAGTACCCATTGGCTCCAACTTCAGGGTAGAAGATTAAGCCAAATGGGAAAAGCAGGGTACAGATATAGGGAAAGAAGGAAAGGACCCAGGATAATAACAGTCCAGTGTGAGATGGTGAGCAATAATAGGGTGGGACTGTACATTTGACAGGAAGAGAGACAAGATAATATTTTTATGAGGAAAGCAGGTGAGAATACTTAATCAAATAGGAATTGCAAGGGAGAAAGAAGATAGTGTGTTACATGGTTTCATGAGGAATATCAAGCAACCATGTGGAATTCACAGTAATTAATTCCATGGAGTTCTGCAAAAGGCAATTGCAGTGAACTCTGGTGTATCTGTGCAACACTAACTGGAAAGGAGGATAAAGAGGAGGAAGGGAAAGGAGGAAAGTCCTCAGTCTTACCAAACACAAGTGCATTGATACATCATTAGCATCCAAAAAATGATAAGAAAATGAAAGTAAGGAAGGAGTGTCTGTCATCAGGGTAGCACAAATTGAGCAGTGTGCTGGTCACTGGTGCATCTGTGCACTGGCTAGAAAACGGAAAAGGAAGGTCAGTCTTTGTGTGTCATGATTGGGCAGTATGTTGACTGTAAGTGCATCTCTGCATCATTAGTGGAAAAAAGGAATGATAAGAAGGAAAAGAGTTTGTATGTCAGTCCACGGGTGCCTGCAGAAGAGCAGTTACATGAAACTCTGATGCATCTGTGTATCACTAGCTGTAGTGGGGAAAGGGATGGTTGTAGGCCAGCCCCGTGAAAGGGTATATAGGATCAAACGCGCATTAACATGTTCAATGTAAAATGTAATGATAAGGAGCAAAGAAGGAAAGGAAGGAAGAGCAGTTTCAAGGGGTCCCATAAAGGTCATGAAAAGTTGTGACCTCTGGGATGTAATGCTGTATAGTCCATTGCAAGTCAACCAGTGTTTTGAAGGAATATGTTATCACTTGTCTTCAAGGTTGAAGAGTAAGCCAAGCATGAAACCATCATGAAGCAGGTGGCAAGTAAATGGATTACATGGCATTATGTCTCAGAAGATATAACTCTTCATGATCACTGCTGTGAGAATCTCAGATCCTACATAACAGAGGCCTTTTTTTTTTTGAAACTTCCCCTACAGAGCACATATGCATATTGCAGAAGATTTTCTGTGTTCCTTCAGGAAGCAGAGAAGAGACTACTGTGACTCGCTGAGCTAAAAACCATCATCCCTGTTCATATTGGAATGGGGCTTCATCTCTGGGCTTCCACAATGATGAGGTCCAAGTGTTAGGATTTGGTGGAGAGGATACTGATGTTCTGGACTAAGATGGAGTGTCGCAGGTTGATGCTTGTTCCCCTATGGCTGGCTTATTCAGCAAGTAGAGGTGGTTGTGTTGATAGTCATACTTGACTCTGGTCTTGGTGAACTGACTAGCATGCTCATATAGACCTGATCATATATTCAGGGATTGCTGTATCATCAATCCTGCATCATCCTTCACAAGTCAAATGGAATTAGTAATCTTTCTTGATGAGAGGAATTGGAGATGTTTATGAATCTGAATCTTGTATTTCTTCTGTGATTAACTTGGAGAGAGAGGGAAAATTGAAGAAGAAATAATGTGTCATGCAAGAGCAAAGAGGCCTATATTGGAGCATCAGTGACAGGTAGTGGAAAACAGTTGATGATTCTTACTCTCCACATAAATTAATTTATCTGAAAACAGTGGTACCTTAATGTCTGAAATGCATCTCTGACTTTAAAGCTAGATTTGATTATTTTGTCATGGATACAACCACCTCTGTGGTCTGGTGGTCACAGTTTCTGGCTACAGATCTAGAGGTCTGGGTTCAATTCCCTCCACTACCAGATTTTCTGAGAAATAGTGGGTCTGAACCGTGTCCACTCAGCCTCATGAGGATAATTGAGGAGCTATTTCTAGGAAATAGCAGCTACGGTCTAGAAAACCTAGATTAACGGCCATGGGGATTCATTACGCTGCCCACATGACACCCTCTATATGCTAAAGTAGACATGAACTTCACTGACAAGCAGGAGTTGCTCGGTTGGTATAGTTTGCTTGCGGACTCAGAACCACAGTTTCTTTTTGTCATGGAAACTATAGTTATAAACTGTTATTCTGGAGAATTCTTGCAGACACAGAAGGATTAACTAAAACCATGATCTTGTGTTGTCAATGGAAAGGATATTGACAGTAATAAGGTTATGTTTTTTGCACTTTCATTGTTTTTACATTCCATGAGCAGTGATGAAGTTGGAGCTTAGGGATGATTATGGATGAATAGTTTCTACATTTCTCCAGATCTCTGCCTGCTGATAAAGAAAAATGGTTTAGATTTATAGCTGGAACACTGCAACTAAACAGGAAGAACCTTTGGTTGTAAAAGAGGCAAAATTGAGACAGGGTGAACATGTTGCTATTTTGGCTCAAGGCGTGATGTAGTGAAGCAGATGGACAGGAAGTTTGTGTCATTATTTCCATGTTTCACACTGATACTGTGGTGGCAGTTTTCAAACATACATAAATATACAAACCAAAAGATATACATAAATACAGTTTAAATGAGAGAGCGTTTATGAAGAAGTCTGTCTTCTGGGATATAACACTGTATAGTCCGTTGACAATCAGCTGAAGTTTTAGAAGAAGTTGTCACCATCATCAGGGTTTGAAGAATCAACCAAGCAAGAAACCAGCATGACACAAGTCACAAGCAGGCACTGCTTCATGCTGGTTTCTTGCTTGGCTTTTTCTGCAGATGTTGGTGATATGTTCCTCTGAAACAGTGGTTCATTTTCCACATACTACACATCGTTGTATCCTAGAACATAGAACTCTTCATAATAACTGTTATGAGAACTTCAAATCCTATTTGGGAGGTGATCTGAAAGATCAAAAGCTACAGCCATAGGAAATCGAGATGAAAGAAGGCAGAAAATAATGCCCAGAACTGTTCAAGAGGCTGCTGAATATATGATATGTAATGCATTTGTACTTTACAAAAAAAAAAAAACATAAAAAGGGCCGTATTTCTTTTTAACTTCATAACCCTAGAAGATTGTTGAAGACATCCATTGATAGACTGATTGCAAGACATTTTGTAGAAAGGATACCACCATCTGAGAAGTTGGCAAAGCCTACCAAAAGGTGCACAGACAAATGGAAGAAGAAAGGAAACTTTATTTTGGTGTAAGGACTCTGGAATAGTTTGTGTTTTGTGGACTGTTTGAAGATCTGCCATGCAAATACAATTTATAACTGCAAACAGGATTTTATAAAAATAATTATGCTGCATGAAACTTTAGACCTTTTATAACATCTGAAGGTTTCATAAAAGTCTCTTTAGTAATGTATAAAATGCATACAAATGAAAAAAAGTCACAAGAAATGTCTGCTGCAGGATCATTTGAATACTGCTGTGTTATGCAGTGAGTAGGGGTTTTCAATGCCGCCTTTAGTGGCTAAGAGGGATCCTAGTGAGATTGGATGTAGATTGAACTGGCTTAGGATCATGTCAGTTATGAGCTATTGTAGTAGTGGTAAAAATATTGGGGTTCTGCTGCTACTTAAGGAGTTAATACTCTGCCTAATCCTGTTACTGGGACCGAAATGGAAGACCGTCCCATTCCTGCAGATACCAGGATGTTGAAACGCCATACTTGAGGCATAGGCCATGTCATGCACTTGCTTGTTTGTTCTTGATCTTTATAGTTGACTTGCTTGGGCTGCTGAACTGGATTAGCCATCCTGAAGTTCTTAAAGACAGTCTTGCAGCATTGATGACGGTGGATGGTGAAGAAGTAGTAAAGTTCCTGCAGGATGTATTGGATGCACTGTTCAACATTCTAATGCAAAATTCAGACTCAGATCTGTACGACAACATGGTCTTCGAGTGCCTTGTGAGTAAATGGATGTGTCATCCCACCTCTATAGTACAATGAAAATAAATGTACAGTATGATTTAAGATCTTTACAGGCCTCATCAGTTGCAAGAAAATTCCTTTCCTAGGTGTAATGCAGTGAAAGCTGGTTTTTACGTTTCTTGAATATACATTTTCCTTGATTCTACACATTTTTTATTGGTCGTGCCAGGACTTCCAAATGAATAATATTAAATTTTCTTGGAATTTGCATTTGTGTTCTCTGCCAGTTCCATGATTTTATGTTCAAATTTGCCATTAATTATCCTGTTGCCACCGTTTTAAGTACTTTCAATTGGAAATCAGGAAAATAAACATTGATATTCTGTTACAATTTCCCATCTCCTCTATTGTCTTTATGTACGCTAACCTTTCTATGGCTTCAAGGTTGCACTAGTAGAGCACAGCCATGTTTCCTACCATTTCCATGACAACTTGTGATGCAAGTTTCATGTACTTATTAATCACTGTGCTAGTGCTGTTTGTAGATGTACCACTGATTAAATCTTACTTTATTTTCTGGTTATTATAAGTGATCACAAATACCACATGCTTATTAAGTCACTTTGTTAGGGTTGTTTCATGAATCTACTACAAAATAAACTAGGGAACAGTTTTGTTTTAATGCATAGTTGTGATTTGTTTTTCAACATACAGGAACCAAAGAAAGGGAAAGGGTGCTCTGTTCTAGAATAAATCGACATTCTAGCCCAAATGGATGCTAGTAAGGAAAGATGTGTTTCATTATGAAATCATCACTGTCACACATACCACATCTGTGAACTATTGCCAGAAGTGTGTATTCAATTTAAATCAGAGCAGTGATGTTGAAGATATAACAGAACTTAGCATATTAAAGATGACCAGAGGCAGCTGAAAGCAGGTGTATCATATTAAGATACAGATTCTATAACATGTATGGTGCAGACAGAACAAATGTGAATGTTCATTATAATTTTCAGAGGAATTTGTTACTGATCCCTGTCCTGAGCAAGATGAATCCATTTTATACCTTCCATCCTATTCTTTCAACATTCACAATTCCAAATCTCATATCTGTTTTTAGCTTCTTAGTTATTCCAGAGAATCTATCTGAAGTCCAAGACCCAGCGTAACAGTTCTTATGGCAAGGAGCTGTTAGGGCGCTGTCCAAAGCCCAACTTGGTGTACCATCTCTTGCTGGTTGTCTCTGCTTATTCATTATATTCACAGCTGGCCTTCATATCTGGAGTGTTTAGGTTGCACCATACCATAGTGGGTAGGATGAAAAGTTTACATTTGATGTGTCTCAGGAGGAGGATGGGGGGGGAGGAAGATGATGGTGGAAAGAGTGAACCTTCAGCAACATTTTTGTCAGCACCGAAGGGCATCTTACACTGTGAGGAAATACTTTGTGTTTGATGTCAATGATATCATGATAGCTGCCTTCAGTAGTATTGAGAATGAGGTGTTACAGGGTTCAGCAGAAAGTGAACCTGTAGCAGCAGTAACAGCTTATTTTACTGTAGGTGTGAAAGACATGAACCAGATTACATTTTTATTGCAGAACATTGAACTACGGAACATTTTTCGTGTAATACAGTATGAATTTAGTGTATTTAGTTACAGTAGCTATATAAGCAGCCTCCGTAGTCTAGAGATAACATTCCCACCTCATGACTCGTGGTACGCGGGTTCTAACCCAGCGTAGGTCGTCGAATTTTTAAGGGCGGAAAAATTCAGGGAACAAGTCCTCCGGGAGGGACTTTAAGCCGTGTGTCCCGTGTCGTAGCTTTACAGCACGTAAAAGAACCTCATATATCTCCAAAGGAGGTCACTGAGCCAAATTCAAGGACATTTCCCGCCCAACAGTAGTCTCTAACACCTCTGATAGATGGGGGAAGCACTATAGATACCGCCAAGCCAGTGGAGGCCGAACTCGCTTGCTCGGTCGGGACTGATGGTACGCACCAATATCGGTAGGGTATAGAGACTGGTAGAATATCATAGAGAGAAGCACAATGGACCAATACTGGTCTAAGTGCATGGGGAAACCCACCCTCTCCAATAACTAACTAACTACAGTTGCTCTATAAATGTTCATTTCCTCGATTTTATGCCATCCAATATCTCTCTCTCTCTCTCTCTCTCTCTCTCCCACACACACACACACACAAATTACATTACATGTTTGGTATCACAGAGCTCAGGAAAAATGTTTTTACCAAACAAGGACATAAAGTCTCTTGGAAAATGTATTCATAACAAGCAATGGTGGGTTTACTTCACTCTGGATATTGATCCCGATATTTCCTCGATACAGATGTAGCATTTCCATCAGAAAAGCATTACATGACTGCATGCTGCTATACTCCACATTAATTAATAATGTCATTTTGTTCTCTGTTGTCACTCCTTTGCCATCAGAAATACAGCAGTATGAGCCACAAGCGAATACAGTATGAGCTTGTCACATTATGAAGGCTTCATTATGAGAACATACAAAAAATAATACAGACTGTAAATTTGATTTTCTGTAGCTCTAAATGGTAGTGGATCAGGCAACTGTTTATATATATTTTCTGCTTAAAATTGTCTCCTCAACAGCCCCATGAAATTTTGCCATAGGACTTTGAATAACTCTCTGTAATAATACAATTTGTTAATTATAACTTTGAATTTTAGCCCTGGTGATGATGCAGATTGCCTGCTGTGGGCCAACATTGAATTGGATTAACAGCCTCAGTATTACATTTCATGAAAGTCCATTCAGCTGGATTGATGTTTTTTTATGCTTGATGTTTCAGTTGTTTTCTATGGATGCTTTATTGGAAGAAATGTGTGAATTTTGGCAGGTAATTTGTTATTGAATAGCAGGCAGGAACGAATGTGATGTGCATGTATATGCTTGCTTTCAGCTTTATATAATTGGACTGGTGTCGGACAGAAAGTACCAACATTTTCAGCCAGTTTTGGACCTCTACATACAGGAGAGCTTCAGTGCAACACTTGCTTATAAGTAAGTTTGCCTGCTGCAGAACAAGCCTAAAGTTAATTTCATTGGAGTAGAATTAGATTTACCAAACATGAATGAATGAATTAGTATAATTTCAGTGGTTTAAGATGTGAAACTAGTTAAAAAACTTGGGAACAGGAGGTGGAGGGGGAATCCAAATGAACAGTAATGGACAATAAAGAAAATTAAATATTGAAAGATCTTCGCGGGTTCAAATCCCAATGAGGTCATTGGATTTTTTTCTGTTGACCTAATCCAGCTGCACTAGGCCTTGGGGTTTACTCAGCCTCTAACAGAAATGAGTACCAAGAATTAAATAATAATTTTCCTGGGGAGTAAAGCGTGGCCAGCGTGTAAGGCTGACAACCTTACCGCCATCTTTGAGCCGATTGTATAGATAATGTGGGACCCTCAACGTCTCACAACCCTATGGGCCTTCATGGCCTGGTACAGGGTTAGCTTTACTTTTTACTTTTACCCTGTAGAAAAATGAATTTAAGAATGATACCAGCCTTACATTTAATTTTGTGGAGGATAAGAGTCTTACAATATAGGGATACTTAAAAAGAGTTGAACATTTTCAAAAATGTATTGTGAGTGAACTGAATAGGTATGAAAGCCAACAGTGCATTGTTTGAAGTAGTAACTCAGAAGGTTTATTATCAACCAGAAAGTATTCAGTGTGGGCATGAAGGTAGTCCTGACCACTCCCAAAAGATATGTGAACTCATCCAGTGCTCTGTGTAGAGTATGTATTTCAGTGGACTCCACAGCTTACATTTGTACATAATTCGTAAATTCACTGATCCGTTGTCCGAATTGGACTGGATATTGAACTCGTCAAAATAAGACTTGATTGCAGAAACACAATTGTGTCAAAGGAATTTAGTTATTAAATGTTATACATGCTTAGCAGAAATATATTCATCTATTGAACAAAAAGCATTTGTTGTGAGGAATCTTTTCAGTGTGCGTTTAAAAATCTTCACATTATCACTCATCCTTTGTATATTTTGAGGAAGATTATTATAAACCATAATGGATGAATGTAACACGCCTCTGTGGATTGAAGATACTCTCACTGTTGACACATGTAGCTTTCCAATCTGTCTAGTGTGTTTATATGATGAATATTATTATGATCCACTGGTTAGAGTACACATTATTTTTGACAAATTTCGCTGGAAAACATGTTTCAAAAATCAGTAAAAAGATATTAAAAAATAGATTAACACTTTTGTTAACATCAAAATTACTTAAAACAGTTTCCCAGGTTTCCCTACTCAACAACTCACTAAAAGTTATGATGCCAGAGCTCAGATATAACTCTTCTTTTAACTAATCCACTCTCATTCCTTTGGCTGTTCATAACATTACCAACAGTCATGATCTGAAAGCCCATTGATTACTGAGTACACCTGTAAAGTATTTAATCTGCTGTAATCCAAAAATATACTATCAGTAGCAATACTGGTATCAGTTGTAATCCTAGTTGGAAATTTGACAACTCGAAACAGGTTGTACATCTGAAATAGTGAAATAAGCTGAAGAGATTTACTTGAATTCTCTAAAAAATTTACATTAAAGTATCCACATATTATTAATTAAACTTTAGGCTTGTAAACAGATTTCAGTATTAGTTCAAATTGCTTAATAAATTCCTCTACATTTCCACAAGGAGATCTGTAAATACATAGTATTATAAAATAATTATTACCAATATTTTGTCAGACTGCATAGGCCTCAATCACCTTTTCCATGCAATATTGTATTATATCAATTGGATCACAGTCCATATCCAATTTACAATATATACAAACACCTCCACCATTACTTAACGATCGTGAGAATTGAGAGGTTAAACAATAATTTTCTGGTTTGATCAATAAAGGTTTCTGTTCAGTTAAGTAATGTTCAGTTATACAAATTACATGTGGGCTTAAGTCATGACTAATTAACATACAAATCAGTTCATCAATTTTATGTTGTAGACCTCTAATATTTTGGTGAAATAAATTAAAGGAGCTTATCTTAGTATCCTTAAGTTTAATCTTTGGTGCTTGACTAAGGTCACAGCTACTGCATGAGGTCTTCAAATTCAATACAATTTGAGGCATACCATAAAAAATCATCACTCATATTTACTGGTCATCTTCTAACTCTCTTACCCAGCACCGGGGAGATGATTCATTCATTGAATTTAACTGTTAGTGTTCAAATGCAACAACCAGTTGGTGCTATTAATATTGATAAAATACTGTCAGTACAATGACAGCCATTCACTTGAAGATGATAGAAGAGCCATTTTATGAAATTTTGTGTATATTGAATATAATTGAAATACCAGAAGTATCCAAAATAATTAGTGGTGTAATATCCAGCCATTGTCACTTTCCTTTACAGAATCAGTTGGTAACTAACTTGATGTTTTGTTTTGTAGCAAACTGATTGTGGTTTTGAAGTATCATATAGACAATGCCAACTGTACTGACAGCCAGAATAAGGACCTTATGCTGAAGACCATGAAGTCCCTGCAGTATTGCATTCGCTTCATTGTACGGTCAAGGCAGCTCTTCTCAGAGTGAGTGTTGTGTTAAGAAGATTAGCTAAGTATAATCAGGGTTTACAGATACTCATATTATAATGCAGCATGCATGGGAGATGACGAATATATATACAGTAAAACTTGGTTATAGCAACATCGGTTTCTGCGACACCTTGCCTATTGCGTCAAATATTCAATGGGGTATGAACTAATTCCTCATAAAGCAACTGTTTTTATACCTTGCTTAGTATGACATGCACAAATGCATCAACCTCGTATGTAACGTCATTTTCATTCCTGAATTTCTCTGATATGGACATTGAACGTAATTTAGAAAGTGGGCAAGTAACAGGAAACAGATGAAGATAACTGATTACTGTACTCATATCTAGGTACAGTAAGGCACAACAATTGATGTAATCTACTGTAATTTGATGAGTAGGCCTACCTTTAATATACAGTATTAGTGCGGTGTGTATTGTCAGTGAAAAGCGCTGTAATATGTCTTTGATATTACACATTTGGGCAATTCCACGTTAATGTTACGTTAGTCTGTACTTAACTACGTATTTCACTAAAAAATGCAACATTTTAACTCGGTTTTTGGTAGATTTTTACGTGACTAACATAAGGCTACTGTGGAAGTGCCCATTTCGGTTACAGCGACATTCGTTTATAACGACACTATTTTTAGGTCCCTTTGATGACGTTATAACCAAGTTCTACTGTATATATAAATATAAAATTTTAATTTGGATCATAACCCAAAAGGGGAGCTGGGATAGTGCAGTTGGTATAGCGACTGATTCTGTGGTGGATGACCAAGGGGTCAGAGTTTGAGTTCCATTAAGGGCAAGAATTTTCTCTTCATGTCTGTGGTCTGCTGGTCAGAGTTCCTGGCTACAGATCCAGAGGTTCCGGCGCAACCAGACTTTCTGAGTGGTGGGTCTGGAACAGGGTCCAGTCAGTCTTGTGAGGATAATTGAGGAGCTGTTTCAAGGAAATAGAGGCTCTGGTCTAGAAAACCGAAATTAACGGCCTTGGGGATTCATTGTGCTGACCACGCGACATCCTCTATATGCTAAAGTTGGTACTAACATCAACAAGCGGCAGTCGCTCAGTCGGTATAGTGTGCTTGTGGACCAAAACCACGGAGTTTGTTTTGTTTATGTCTTCCAGACTGGTTCTGGGGTCCATCAAGCCTCCTATCCAATAGATACTGGGTGTTCTTTCCCCGGGGGTAAAGCGACCAGGGCGTGAAGCTGACCACTCACCTCCAACTAGTGCTGAGGTCAAGAAAACATTGGCCTATTCATTCACTCCCCTATATGCCTTTATGGTGTAGTGCTTAATTAGTTAAGCATGGAGACAACTTTACCTTTACCTTTAAATAACCTGAAAAGAAAAAAGCAACTTAGAAGAGTGTGGGATGCTAATACTAAAGGGGATCATTAGGAACAGGTATGAGAGTATGAACTACATTGAACTAGCTGAGTATAGGATCTAGTGGGAGGCTTTTGTGAACGTTGTAAGTAAATTTCAATTTTAGTACAGTATAGTAGCTGTCAGCTTGTCAAAAAGAACCTACTTTGTATACAGTGAAACCCCGATTTAATGGAGCCACATTTTATGTTTCCTGAATTTAAAGTACACTTTTTATGGTCCCACCCTAAACTCCATGTATGTAATTTTGTCATTTTCTTTGGTTTAAGGGTTTTCCTGCATTTTATATATGAAAATGTGATTCCCATACATGTTTCAGGTCCCATTTTAGTGTTGAAGGGAATTTTTTTCATTTTCCAGCATGTATATGACCACCCTTGCACAGTTCTACATCTTCATTTGCGTGGTATACAGTGCAGTATTTCTCTTTCTGCCCAATCTTTGTTCCTTCTTGGTTTCAATTGAAAGCTGTTACTGCTTGTTCTTTCTTGTGTTATGTTTGTATTTCATAATTTTTTAAATTGATTTTGAAATAATATATGGCCACTGTGGGGGCACGCGGTAGCGTAGCTGGTTGAGGGGCTATGCTACAAGCCGGAAGGTGACAGGTGCAAGTCCTGATGAGGTCATTGGATTTTTTTCATTTGATCTAATCCTTCCAGCTACACTATGGCCCTGGGGTTCACTCAGCCTCTAACAGAAATGAGTACCAGAAATTAATTAAATAATTTTCCTGGGGAGTAAAGTGTGGCCAGTGCGTAAGGCTGACAACCTTACCGCCATCTTTGAGCAGATTGTCTAGATAATGTGGGACCCTCAACGTCTCACAACCCTATGGGCCTTCACGGCCTGGTACAGGGGTAGCTTTACTTTTATATGGCCACTGTATTGAAAAGAAAGAATAAGCAATAAATGAGAAAGTGAAAATTATTCAGAAGGGTGGAAAGTGTCCAACTATGTTACGTGAAATTTTGAAGTGTTATGTGCTGACCCCATCATCATTAAGTGACATAATTCAGTGGAAAGCTTCTGTTCAGCTGTGGGCCATATTTTGAGAAATGAAAAAACTTAGCTTATTAAAGGAACAACGTTTAGTGCCTTATTATTGATTTAACTAAGTTCAAGTCATTTTAGGCTCCTTCCCCTTCAAACCCCCATTTGAGATAGGTTTAAAAAGCTTGTCCTCCAGATAGACCTTAAATTGGGTCTTCACCATAGTTAGTTTACACCATAACAGTCATTCCCTGTGTGTCAATAAAATTCTGTAGTTCAGTTTATCCTCAGTGTAATTTGCATCACGTGTTCTGATAATCTAACATGATAGTTACATGTATCTAAATTTAGAAAAATGGTGTCCTCTGTGTCAGTGTTTCTCAAGGGTACTGCCCCAGAATTCATTTGGCCATGAAATACTTTTACAATACTCTTGAATAACAAGCACCTAATTGTTTTGAAATATTGCTTTTTGAAAAATAATGCTACATGCAAAACGTTCAGTTTCATTCCATGTTCAGGAAATAGCTTATGTTTACTTAACTAAAGCAAAGGCTGGATCTGCCTATTATTCACAATGGTTTTTTCTTAAAGGAAAAAGTAGAATTATTTCACCATACTCTGTGTGTATTTGTGTCTTCCTTTTTGANAATATTATGCATTGGCCACATCAACCCCATAATTTCATTTCCTGGGATTAATAATAATGACAAGGAGGGTACATGAACTTTAGTCCAACTACTGCCTCTTAATGTATAGGGTCTTGTAATCGTGTATAGTAATAAGACTTCAAGGAATATACATATTTGTTAAGCCGATTTATTTGTGGTATTTGAAACAAAAGTGTAGTGGCTGTGTGGAAATATTCTTCTGGCTTTTTTGATGGCCATCGCTCTTATGCCATTGGAGCTATCAGTTTCAGTTTTGTATGAAGGTAAAATATACACAGTGAAGTGGAATATTTGGGTTATTCAACACTGAGGAAAAGATTAGTATAATTGTATAACTTTCATGTTCAAAATATTAATGTGATTTTACTGTATTTTATTCAGGTTGAATGAAGGGAAAGATCAACAGCAGTTTGAGCTTTCATTAAAACAGTTGCTCCAAAGCATCACTGGCATGATGTGTTACAATACAGATAACACACTGACAGTGCAAGGGACATGTCTCAAGTTCCTGCCGTTTACCATTCCAGATATCCTCACAGTATTCAGTGCCACAGAACTGAGGTAAGAAGTCACCATCATTATGGAATATACCATGTATCTGTGAGATCAGGGTTCTCACAGATACGATTGTGAAGAGTGCTGTCTTCTGGGATGTTGCACTGTGATTGTTGATAGATGTTAGCAGTGCTTCACAGGAATATACAGCCTTCATCCAAAGGGGGCTTACTGCTTGCTTCATTTGTCAACTCTAAAGCTGGAGGTAGCACATTCCTCCAAAATACTGGCAAACACATGGCAGGCTACAGAGCATAACATCCCAGAAAATAGAACTCTTCATACCATGTTATATACTTACACTGAGTCTGTAGAGGAGAATCTTACTTTGAAAACAGATTTTCTCACATACTTAATAATTTCTGCAGTGGAATATCAGGTCTGATTCATGGAAGAAGAATGTGAGGAAGGGGAAGTGTGGTATCTATTGGATAGGCAGCTGGATGGCTGCAGAATGAGTGTATAAATTTTAACAAAGAGAAAAATCCCTTCCTCTGCTTGGAATTGAATGTCATTTGCCTTTCCCATATTAATATTAACCACTACCAGAGTTATCTTAACATGCAGTAATATCTGTGATCAAAATAAATACATTTAATGGGAATGGATGGAAAATATAATTATGTGTCATTTTATGTGGATATAATATTTGATCTGACCGAGAGGTGAGGACATAGATCGAGGGTGCTGAGAGCAATACTTAGATGATGGAGAACATTTGACTGCCAAAAGTTACAGTGATTAATTAAGGAATGAAGAGATGGACAGGACGTGTAGCATGCAAAGGGGCAGTGAGATGTGCATATACAATTTTTGTTGTAAATCCTGAAGGAAAGAGACTGTTTGAGACCCTAGATGTAGATGAGAGGATAATTTAGAGAAACAGGTTGTGAGAATGTGGACAGGATTCAGGTGGAAGGGATTTAATGGCAGGCTCTTGTGAACATATTAGTGAACCTTCTGGTTCCATAAAGGCACGGAATTTCTTGACCAGGTGATCAGCTGCTAATGCTCAACTTCATGGAATTAGTTATGATTGGAAAATAGTAATGCCTTAAAAATATTGACAATTTTTTATAGTGGCTTATTAACGGAGCTTATTAACAAGCTGCCTCCAACCCGCCTCACAAAGCAGAAGATGATGACTGTGAATGACATTGTGCATAGCAAGTTGTTCCTCTATTCTGACTGCCGTGCAGTACTGCTTCCTGTCATCACAGCTCACATCAAAGAGCTGCTTGAGTCCAAAGAAGAGGTAAATATGTACTTTCCTGTTATAAAGTAATTATAGAAAGTGTTCAGTCAGTTCATGGATGCTGTACCTAGGATACTGGAACACAATGAAGATGTTTGATGCAGAATTGCATCCTGTTGTGAAACATGTTTTTGTAATTTTTCAAATTTCTGTAGAGTGGGTTATCATATATGCAAGAGACTCGATAGGTTTAATATATATAGCATTTTATTTGAAGAATATTTTTCAACTTATTTTTCTAATACTAAAAATGTAATACTAAAATTTGACAATTTTCATTCAAATACTTTTAATGGGAAATTCCCCCCCCCCACACAGAAATAGTTCCAATGAATATAAACGTTTTTCAAAACTGATACTAAGGCTAGCTGAATCGCGTAGTTAAAGCTAAAGTTGGTGACTTAAATCCCCTGTTCTGCATGATGAAGGTTAGGAATTCTGGCAAGAAGGAGAATGTGTTGCATGACATCAGGAAACTGTTGATGAAAGGAAAATGCATTTCTGTTTTATTCATCTTCTTGATTTGCACTGAATTAGAGACAAAATTTTTGTGGGCAAACACAAGAGTTATGATTAAACTTTAGAATAAGTTTTATGAGCCCGCATTTACATTCTGGCGCTATGCTCTGTAAGCAATGTGTTGGTCAAAGCATGTACCTGCCCATTTCATAGCATTTATTTTAACGCCTATTCTAGAAACACTTAGGATAAACCATCTTCGTCTTCATAATTATTATGCGTTGATGCATCAGATTAGCTTGTCCTATAAAAAATTGTCTTCATTCAGCCCTACCTTCCCTCTCATAAGTGCTTTTCTAGTATTTGTGTTCCATATTCTGTTTCATATCTGTTCCCCTTACATAGTTTCTTTTTCCTCATCCCTTATTTATTAATGGTTAAGGATATAATTTAGGGACAAGATATATATATGCCATTTGTTGTATGAGGGCCAGGATAGCTCAGTCAGTATAGCAACTGGCTGTGGGCTAAATGACCAAGGGGTCAGAGTTCGAGTCCTGGTGGAGGCAAGAACTTTTCTTCTCCATGTCATCCAGACTAGCTCTGTGGCCCACCCAGCCTCCTATCCAATGGATACCCTGGGGGTGAACTCACCTCCAACTAGAGCCATGGTCAAGAAAACGTGGATCTATACATCCACTCCCCCATACACCTTCATGGCATAGTGCTTAATTAGTTAAGCACATAGACAACTTTACTTTTACCTTTGTTGTATGCCATTATAATCAGAAATTGCTGCTCTTTTGCTTCCTTTATTTTGGTGTATGTGGTCTTTGAAAATAAGATATTAACAAGGGGCCACTTTATTGCCACCATGAGACAATGCAGCCAGCTGTTTGGTCAGATTTTGTAACCAGAAAAGTTAATTTCATTACACCATACCACCAGAATCTGTACTAAGGAACATACATAACTGTATGTATAAGTGATGATTTGAAGTTAGGGGACCTTAATTTCTGAAGGTGAAGGCAGAGTTATCCCTGAGACTAAGCATGACACTATGAAAAGATGGAATGTGATGGTAAGGCTCCACACATTCTGCATGTGTGCACTGTATAGAGGTGAGTGAGCAGTTACTCGTATGCCCTGACCCTTTTGATGCCAGAGAAAGAGCTCGTGTAATACATTGGATTTAATCTGCATATGATGGTGAAAAGAAGAATTCAAGTTCTTGTACTTCATTCTAAAGCCTGACTATCCAGACCACAGGCAGCTACCTTACTGAGAGAACTGTAATTATTTGCAGTATATCAGTAGATAAGCTACTTATGATAGCACTCCTTAGGAAGTTGACTTGTATAGATTATGTATTGCCTCAGTTGATTAGCTATATGGAATATTGCTTTTGTTAATGTATAGTTGCTTGAATAATAAATGGCTTGCTTTTGTGACCCAGCTGTGTACATGTATCACTGAAGCATTCAGATGGGAATGTAAGAGTGCTCCTCTCATATGCATAAGTACTATGCATTTGTTGGGACCACTTTAACTTGATTATAGTGTATGTGTATGTTAATTGTACATGGTGAACATTTATGCTTGCTGATTTCTTCCCAACAGCCCTGGCAATCTTGACAGCATCTTGTGTTTGTAGACTTGTTAGAGTGCATACGGTAGAATATAACTGCAAATGTATTTCTGTATATATCGTTTATAGGCAGTATATTTCCTCTGTTTGTATGATACTTATTACGTAATTTCTTGTTGAGGACATATCTGGTGAAACAGTTTTGGGAAGAATGACCATATGAGTTACTTTCTCTCATCTCTCTGGTTTGTTAGTGTTCGGTTTTATAAATGCAACACTTCAGAGTGTACTTTTGTCTCTGCATCAAGTAATGAAATTACAAGGAATGAGGAAATGCTTGTTTTTATCCCATAATTTGTTTTTATTTTGGCTTCTGACTATACATACACATGTGAATTCACCTTTCAGGAGTAGGTCGCATCAAACTTTGATGGTTTTTGTAATGTTTCATTAAACCTTGCAGCCCTCTTCTTGAGGGTAAATGACTTCATGAGAACTATTGGCACTTTTATATAGCTCTTGCATTAGGTAGCAATTTGGAAGGAGGCTGTGATTGCATGAACAGGGATAGCGGAATGATAACCAACAGGGACCTCCTTTGTTGATTTTTAAGATGGCAGGCGCAAGGTTTGCCAGAAGGTTGGAACACCCTCAGTGTTTGACATTGCCTAGTCCCAGAAGCTGAAACTACACATTTATCTCCAGCTGTGAAAGCCTGAAGGCTAGAATTATATATATGAGATCTGGTCTAAAAGCATCAAGACTGAATCTGTGGACATTGAGTTACTGTACTAACAAGAAAGGGATGTTAATCCCATTTAACAATTCAGCAGGTTCCTTTAGCATGTACAAACTTGTTCCACCATTCCTGTCAGTCTGGAAATAGGTTTTAAACTCAGTTTTTGTAATTACCAGTAGCTGCTCCATTGCGTTGTATTCAGTTCTTTCGAGATCATTGACTATTTTACTTTAGAATTTGTTTTCTTTCTCATGTAAGCAGTTTATATGAGAGAGTGTTCTGGTGGTGATAAGTATGTCTCAAGATTTTGATAGATTTTCAAGGCTGCAGAACCCCTGAACATGAATACATATATATATGAGAAGGTATTCTCATGTTGAAAGAATTGACCACATGATTTTGATGGCTTTGCATGTTTTTGGTTTCCCTGAATATGAAAAATTTGTTTGGAGTGCTGTCTTTCTGCAGTTCTGTATGTATGGATATCCATCTTACTATCACCTGAATGGGTTGATGAATTTTATTCATATTTTTCGGTTAAGAGCTTATCCATCATAGGCTGGGCCTGTGGCTGAATGATATAGCCTCAAAATAAGGGGCTCTTCAAATAAACCTCAAAAATAAAATAGCAGTTTACTTGAAAATGTCTGGATTGGTTGTATCAAAATTTCCGTAGTTTATGGAGACTGTTCCCCCAAAACTGCATAGGAGGTACTGTCAGTAAATACTGGCATACAGACTAGGGGCTGAAATGTTTATACAGTGCATGCATGTCCTAGCTTGTATAATTAATAGCCAACAGTGGTCTATTAACTGATTTTGTGAAGAGTTCTGTCTTCTGGGATATAATGCCATGTAGTCATGGGATGGGAGTAACTCCCTTGCACTATGGCCACTTCTGGCGTATTGTACCAGGCCCAGATGATAGGTGAGGGTGATTGTGGAGCAATTGGTAGAATGAAGATTGGCAGGGAAACCGAAGTACTCGGAGAAAGACTACCCCAGCGCCACTTTGTCCACCACAAATCCCACTTGACCAGACCCGGGATCGAACCCAGGCCACCACGGTGGGAAGCCAGCGAGTAACTGCTTGAGCTATGGCACAGCCTGAGTTGGCATGTCATTAACACCCTCATTTTAAATGTGATCATGAATGACTGAAGCAATGGAATCGGCTGTAACTGTGCCGAGGTATGCATTGACATGTCAGGACACATTCATTATATCTGCTTTCATGCACAGTGAGATCTATCTGAGATATGCATTCATTCTCAATTCTTTGTGATTGGACCTTTCAGCTATTTTTAAATTATGAACTTTAAATGCATTTTCTATCGTTACTCTTTATTTAGAATATCATAATTGGTGCTTCTGTTGATATTTATTGATGAGTAAGAAGCTGTAAATTTTGAATCTGAAGTCTGAAATGAATGAACCAAGTGTAGGTAATAAGCAAGAAAATTTCAGCTATTGACACTCGTTATCTTTACTTAGTTTAGCACATTTCTTCATTCTGGCTTTGCTATATAGGGTGGCGATTATTTATGTTGGATTTAAGGTTCTCACATTAGTGACTATGAAGAGTTCGGTCTTCTGGGTTGTAATGCTGTGTAGTTCGGATAGAGCCTAAGATTTTCGAAGAACACATTGTCTTCACCTTCATTGTCATCCCTGAAGATGGCGGCAGTACGTTCCTTCGAAACATCAGGCTGTCGCTGAACTACATGGAATTGCATCCTATGCACTTCGAAGATGACTTAAATTATCAAACAAGGTGATAAGGTGAAATTGAAGCTAGTGTTCTGATTTGTGTGGATTTAGGCTGGGGCCACGAGCGCACAAAATGCGTCCGTTGTAACGAACGTTGTGATGTCCATTGTAGAAATAAAGAAGAGAGGTGAATGCTACGCTTTCTTCTGGCTCCATTGCAGACAGAAAACTACGCACCGCATTCTGAAACTGTGTGATGTCCTCAGCAATGTCCGTCATAAAGTATGTTTGTTACAACGGACACATTTTGTGTGCTCTTTTGGCCCCAGCCTTGCATGATTCAAACCTTGGATAGGAAGTGACTATAATGATTCAAGGTTTTGTGTTCTTCGTGAGTGTGATCAGGGCGATGTAAGGATACCTTAAAGTAGGCCATGTCCGTTTTCTTCCACATCCTACCTGGCTTATCCGTCACAGTTATCATAATCCATTCATTTTTCCACC